AGATGGGTTTGGGCCTCAAGTTCGTCGAGTTCGTCGAGGTTGAGGCTGGGGTTGAGTTTGGAATTCGCTTGGGGATGGACAAATGAAGGGTCTAGGTTAAGCTCGAACAAGTGTGCTCGCTTGTTGTCTTGTTCTCTGCTGCGAACTAGGATCGCTCGCCAACTAGGTCGATTTGAGCAATAATTTTTGCGAACATATTACCCATATTTGGGGACAAGGGGCGGAACAACCTCTCGATCCGCTTACTGCAGCCCAGGAATAAAAATGTCAGTTAATGCACGAAGAAGATGAAGAAAAATTTCGGACACGATGCGAAGAAGATGAAGAAATACGCGAAGAAGATGAAGAAAATTTGGGGCGCGAAGATGAAATTTTCGTACCTAGGTCAGATCCTACGACGCGAAAAAAATAAAAAATTACCACGAGAAAAACAAAAATAATTACATAAATTAAATATAGATTAATTAAAAAAATAAATTAAATAATAAAGTGACTCGAAATAGTAACCGATTTTATGTGACCGAAAATTCGGTTACTATTTCGGTTACTAGACTAAAAAATAATAATTTGGTTACTGATTCGGTCACCGATAGTAACTAAATTTTTCGATCATCGATTTCGGTTACTATTTGACATTTTTCTAGTAGTGAATTCGAGTTGACAAAAAGTCGGCAATCGAGTTGGCAAAGAACCCGATTAATCATGGAAGGAGCAAACATATCGACGTCCAATTTCATTTCATCCGAGAACAAGTCAGAGAAGGAAAGGTTGAGTTGGAGCATATTGAAAACCAAACTCAAGCTGCTGACATATTCACCAAATTACTGTCAACTACACTTGTTGGAGAGTTGTAAAAGGCTTATTGAAATAAGAGATAAGAAATTTATTTAAGTTTAAGGAGGAGATTTATTATAAAACTTAAATTAGACGTTTAATATTCTTAAAATAATATTAATGATTTTAATTACGAGTGGTATAACCAATAGGTTGTAAACCTATTTAATAAGTATCATGATTTACTTTTAACATTTAAAAAAACAAATATTTTAACCCTAAATACTTGTAACAACTTATTTAAAATAACATAAAAAAATATTAAAGATTGAGTGTCATTTATTTTCGAGTTACCAGCATTATTTTCAGAAATTCTCACTAAGAAATGTTGTTACGAGGGGTGGGTGGAACCTGACTTATAATAAACAAATAATCTAATAATTGACAATTGTGGTTTACCATAGATGACTTATCAAGTTGAATCATGGAAGTTAATTATAGTGACCGAAAAAATAAAAATACGCGAGAAATTATTTATAGTATTTTACAGTATAAAAATGTCAGTGTTGGCTGTTACTACTGTAAATTACAACAATTAAAACTATCATTATTTGAAGCATTGAAGCTCATAATGTCACACTAACAAACAAATGCAAATTATAGTGTTTTACACCCATCACAAATAAGAAAAAAATATATTTTTGTCCTATAATATTTGTGATTTTTGTTTTTCCCTAAAATTTTATTTTTTTTAATATAAGTTCCTTAAATTTAAAAATGGTAATTTAATCCTTTCAATCAATTTTCGTTAAAAAAAATATTAATCGTAAAAACAGAAGCGACATAAAATTAAAATATTAAATATTTACAAGGAAAAAAAAAAAATGAATTTGTAGGAAAAAAAACGTGAGACATGACAAATATTCCCTAACATGATTTAATTATATATATAACACAGGCATAACCTAATTTTTCAATAATACGCGTGTATCAATATTTGATTTCGTAGATATTATTCATAAAATTTAAAGTTGTAGAACAGTTAGAATGAAGTATGTTTTAGAAATGAAATAAGGAAATAAAAATGATAGGTGTAAATATTAGGATGAAAATTATATCAATATGCAATCAAAATTATTTTTGTTTGTACATCTCGGTTGTAATGTCTAGGAGAAGCATTTGCTGATGGGCTCTGCTTTTTGAAGGCTTAGTTGATCTATCAAAAGGAGTTTGCTATTTACACCTCTCATTTCTCCTTTATTATTAATAAAAAAAAAATCATTTTCATAGAAGTCATTAAAAACCATACCAGCTTCTTATAAGTGAACCACATTAATCAACGATCATACCATTATCTATTTTTTGGGATGTGTCGTTGAGTTGAGTTTTATTTATTTATTATTATTAAAAAAAAACTCAAACTAAATATTTGAGTGAAGTACGATTAGTTTGATTCAATTTAATTTAATATAAAGTCTAAAACAAATTAAATCAAATTTTATAATTTGGTTTAGATTAAATTTTATTATTATAAAGTTGTTAAATATTTTTATAAAATATGTTAAATATTTTGTATAAAAAAATTAAACAAAAAAATATATATAACTAAATATAATAAATGGTTTTATTTAATTTCATTCTTATTTTCAATCGGAATCGATTATTCAGTTAACAAAAATAAATCTGGGAAATGTTTATTGTATTGTGGTAACTTTATTGTATTAAAATTATTTTCATATTTTAACATGGGAGATATAATTATTTTTTCAACTGCAACATTTTCTATTGTAACATATTACTTTTCTGTTTGGTTAAATATTTATTATTCTTAGATTATAAATTATAGATTGTAAAACATAAAATAAGTTATTAATCAAACAATTTTTTATTTTGTTAAAAGGTCTAATTTTGAAAAACAAATTTAAAAGAAAAATAAAAAAATGCATTCGGTTCTTTTTTGGTTTAAATATAGTTTGAACCGGAGCAGGTCTTTCATCAGTTTAAAACGACATCGTTGCATGAAAAATATTTCAACGTTATAATTCTTTGTTGAGTGATGCCCCACCCCAATTAACCTCGATTTATTAGGAGGGTTCAAATCTCGAAACCGCATCGTGTCCGTGTCCGTGTCCGTGTCCGTAATCCTCCTTCCAAAATTTCAACTTCCCTCTGCTTCTAATGGTAGTAGTATACTATATCTTTCGATCCAAGGTTTCCCAGGGTTTAACCTAAACCAAACCCTAAACCCTGAATTTGCAATTTTTTCTCTCATTTTCCACTCCCGCTATCTCATAATTGCGAACCCATACTCTATTGTGCCCTCAGATCCAATCACCACCCTCTTATCACTGGTAAGTTTTTTCTGTTCTTTTCGTTTTGTTTTTAATTTCCATTTCTGGTGAATATATATCCCAGATTCATCCTCACTTTTTTATTGGACAAGTTAGGGTTTTGGCTAAGTTAATAAAATGTTGTTAGTGACAAACGCCAAGATTGTGATTTTGACATTCTCAATTTCTGTGTAATCTGAGACTTTTTTTGTTGTTGTTAATTACGATTCTTCTCAGAAGTGAGTGACGCTGTTGGGGTGTGGTTCTTGGTGGGTTTTGGGATGATGAATGATAGTGATTTGGGGAATGTGTGTTGTTGGGTTTTCAAGTGATATGAAGTGCTGAATATGAGCAATGGTGGTGGGAAGACTGGAAGACAGCTTGAACAGCCTGGTACATGGAGGAGGAGGAAAGTGGGTGGTGGTGACGACTTTGCCAGGGCGATTACGAAGATTGCGGTAGCGCAGGTGTGCGAAAGCGAGGGGTTTCAGGCTTTTCAGCAGTCGGCTATCGAGGCGTTGTCTGACGTTGTGGCTCGGTACATTTTCAACATTGGGAAATCTGCGCATTGCCATGCTAATCTTGCCGGAAGAACTGAATGCAATGCTTTTGATGTCATTCAAGGGTTGGAAGATTCGGGATCAGTGCAGGGGTTTGCAGGTGCTTCTGATGTTGATCATTGTCTTGAAAGTTCAGGTGTTATTCGGGAAATTTTTCATTTTGTTAATGAGGGTGAACCGGTTATGTTTGCACATCCCATTCCTCGGTTTCCAGTTTTGAAGGAACGGGTGCTTAATCCAAGCTTTCTGCAAAAAGGAGAAGAGCCTCCTGGGGATCATATTCCTGCTTGGTTGCCTGCATTCCCTGATCCGCAAAATTATTCACAGTCACCAGTGGTGAATGGAAGAGGAACGGAACCTCGTGCAGTAAAATTTGAGCAAGAAAGAGAGAATGGCAAGGGGGAGTGGCCTGTGTTGAATTTGAAGCAGCAGATGGTCTCAAATATGTTTGAAAAATCTGCTTTGGTTGACCCGACAGATACTAAGGCAAAAAGAGTAGCAGCAGAAGGTAACCCATTCCTTGCTGCTCCTTTGAAAATTGAGGACAAAGAAATTGCTTCTGTTCCCCTTCCAGCTAAGCTTTTCAATGATGTGGCTCTTGATAACCCTGTTGTGGAAAGTTTTGTCGAAAATGAACCAATTTCAGCGTTGGAGACTTTTGCTCCGGCCATTGAAGCTATGAAAAGCACATCCTGTGATTCTAAGGAAGACCAGACAAAATTTTTTGTGAATGAGAAGCCTACTGTGCGTTTTAAGATTGGGATTAAAAACAAATTATTTGGAAGGTTTGGTGGTTTGATCCCTAAAACAGAGGAGCATAACAAGACTTTGCCATGGTTTGCAATGGAAGATGAAAAGGATGACCGGAAAAGGAGGGCTGAGAAAATTCTAAGGGAATCCTTGGAAAACCCAGATCAGCTTGTTCAGTTGTAAATTAGTTTTTTCTTTATTTAGAATCTGTATACTTGATCAGGAGAATGTCAGGATAGCTAGTTCTGGGATATTCAAATCTTGGTAACTGTCTGGTTGTGGGCATTATAGGATTGATGTTACTATTTTGCTCTGATATGTTCTCACTTTAACAATCTTTCAGGTATGTGCATGTCAATTGTTTGGTAGATCAATTTATGATTCTTTTTATTGAAGTCCTTTGAGACTGTATGATCTTATGCTAAATATAGCATATAAAAACATCTCAACTTCTGACTTGTGGCAGTTACTCTGGATTGTGTATTGTTCCCTTTTACTTTGTAATTAATGCTACATCCACAAATAAATTACCACAAAAATAATCACACTCCCTTCTGGTTAACCTACACACTGGCATAACAGTAAATTAATTCCTAATGTTTCAGATCACTTATTATATTAACAAACAATTGAGAGAAGGATTCATTTAGTTGGCAGTGAGAGATAATTCTCTAGATATTTTCATTGTAGTATCCTTATGTATAAACAAGTAGTACCAAAACCTCATATCCACATATTATATTATTCATATTCAGCACCCTGCCATTTCAAACCACATGTTGTATTAGGTTAATAGTCACTGATATTAATCCTCTGCACATTATCATTGTAGCATGTTCATGTATCTGAGCTTGATGCCAAAAATATATAGAGAGAACTATTTGTTTTAGTTATTGCTATTGTATTATCCCGTTTTTCTTCCTGATTAGAATTATCTGCTTACTATTTTGGAAAGTCCACACTTTTTCCTGTACAAAGAAATTGAGTTTTGCACTTCCAATTTATCTTCATTTTATACTTATTTAAATCCATATTTTCCACGTTATAAATCGCTAGTTATTCTTGCCCTAAGGTATAGTTGCTAATTTTTTGGATTTTCTTTTAATACTGAGCATCTATAAACCCAGCTATACACTTTGTCGGTGAATATTGGTGGGAAAGTACCAAAAATAAGTGGAATGGAGATGATAATGTTGAGATGAAGGTAGTCGGGTTTAAGTAGTTACTATTGAGGAGAATATTGTACGAATTTGCCTACGGCAGTTTGAATTTGATCATGTGAGGAGAAGGTCAAGAAAGGGTTTCAGGTGAGAAAAATGGATCAAACAGACGATAGTGCAACTAAAATGGTACAGGAAGACCCAATAAAAACTTAGAGGAAACCATTAAAAATACCTGTATCCAAGTGAGTTCATTGAAATTTGGTTTTGGATGTAGCTCAATGACATTTTTTGCTTCGTGTTGCTGCTAACTTGATCTAATGTTTTATCAAGCTGTACCGGATAAGGTGTGATTGTTTGTTTGTCTTAATGCTTTGCCGGTGATTTTCAGTTGGGATGTGTTACGCTTGCAAAGGCTTTTAAACTTTGGTGCTCTGGTGTTGTTTAGCTGTAGAACTTACTCATTGCAATTTTACTGGCATCTTCAACTTCTGTTTTATCTTGCTTCTCAGATCTTGATTGGTATAATTGTTGATATTGGTTGCAACGACAACGCAGTAGCTTTGCAACGATGTTTTTATTTATTGTTTAAAAGCTTGTTTTGTGCTTCATTTCACTGGCTTATCACTGAATTGTCATATGATATGGCCTTTTTATTACAATATTTTTATTAAAATATTTTCTTTTTAGACAAGTAATTGACATGAAATGCATGTTGAACTCCAATTCTATGTAGATGTAATGCAGCTTGATGACAAAGTCTAAATTAGAGCAATTTGTTATATCGTGCTACAATACAATTTATATCATCCCATTTGTTCGTACTGAGCCTCATCTTGTTTTCCCCATATCATTTGGAATAATGTGCATTGTCTATATGTAGGATCTTATCTGTTCGATTGTTCGTACTACACTGTGGAATTAAGGTTGAACATGAACAAACAACCCTCCTCTTCCCGTTTTTTTTCCAGCTTGTTCTGGAATAATTCCAAATCATTTTTATATATTTGCAAATATTCCTTTTTGATTTGCGGTATTAGATTTTTAATTTTTTTTTGAGATATCTAATTCATTAACTTTAATTTATTATTTTTTGTAAAGGTAGTAATCATATTTGTAAGAGGGGGTATATTTTTCGGAAAAGGGAAGATTTATAGTTTGTCCTGTGAAGTCCGAAGATACATTATTGGAGTGAGAGCAAATATTCAATGGGGTTCCTCAGTTCCTGGATATCAAATTTATCCTGTAAAAGTAAAAAATGTGTAGAGTTGTATGATTTGTAAGTGCTATGTTTTAATCTCAAGTTAATGGGAAGGTTGCACTGTCTTGGCATGAGATGCAAATTTAGGACAGAAAATTGTCTTCTGTCTGTGCAATTCGAGTCAAATTTTATACAATTTATATATTTTTTTTCAGCTTAAAAGTTTGAGTTGATTTAAGTTTGCAAACAATTGGCCTTGAATTTAAAATATCATTATTTCTAGCATTTTTGTGCCTTAGAGGGAATGAATATTGGGTCAAGTTGAAGAGTGAAGTGACCAAGGGTTAAAATCTTAAGAATTAAAATGATGTTTTACTCAATAATTTATATTACTCTTCTAATATATTGAATATATGTGCTCAGACATCCATGTCCGCGTGGATACAGGCTTCACGGGTTAAATTAGTAGAATTATAGCTAATTCAAGTTTTAACATATTAATTCATAAATAAAATTCATCGAGTTAACAACTTCAGCTTTAAATTAGTACCTGAGTTGGTTCAATTATTTATTATCACTCCCAAATGCAATGATATGAAAATGGACGTGATATAAGTGCTGTTCAAAATTCAAATTGATGCAGACATTTCTGGTTTGGGTTACTATTCTATTTTTGTCTCAGATGATTCACATTACTTAACATCCAAGCCCAACAAGATTTATCGTACTAAATTTATTGCGATACTGTTAGAAAATCCCATGACCACTGAATTTTTTTTAATCATTTTACAAAATTAAAGCAAATGAAGTGACACAATAAATATAATCATATTCACAAAATCAATCACATTTTCTAGTTAATATCTCATTACATTATAATTAACAATTTGTAAGGGAAAATTAACTACCTTTGAATTTTTCAATAACCTTATACCTCTTTTAATCATATATTGATCGTCATGTATTTTTTTAAAATAAATTTGACCATAATTTCTAGATGAACTTTTTTTCATAAATAATACTATTTTAAAAAATATTTTTCAAAATAGCACATTTGGAATATTATTTACCCAACTAGCATCGCTTATTGTTTATGGTACTCTCGCTCAAGCGAGAAATGCATCGCTTGAGCGAGGAGACCTGGAACTTAAGGGTTTGGTGGGGTTTAGGTTCGCTCAAGCGATAAAATTCTCGCTCGAGTCAGAAGTTCTCTCGTTCAAGCGAGAAATTCATCGCTTGAGCGAGGAGACCTGAAACTAATGGGTAATCTCGGGTGTTTTTTCGCTCAAGCGAGGGGTAATTTCGCTCGAGCGAGAACTGATTGAATTATGTGGTGACTCAAGTTGCATTATGTGGCTAACTACATTAGACCTTTAGCCTGTGGTCAATTCTCGCTCAAACGATGGGTAATTTTGCTCGAGCGAGAAGTGATTGGTTAACTTAACGCCTGTGGTCAATTCTCGCTCAAGTGAGGAACCCATCGCTTGAGCGAGAAAATTTATAATCGATTATAACTAAACTAATCGATCATAATTTTAAAATAATCGAATATTTAAAATTATGATCAATTATCTCTCTCGTTCAAGTGAGAAATTCATCGCTTGAGCGAGGAGATCTGAAACTAATGGGTAATGTCAGGTCAATTCTCGCTCAAACGATGGGTAATTTCGCTCGAGCGAGAAGTGATTAGCTAACTGCGTTTGACCTTTCGCCTGTGGTCAATTCTTGCTCAAGCGAGAAATTCATCGCTTGAGCGAAGAAATTTATAATCGATTATAATTTAAACTAATTGATCATAATTTTAAAATAATCGAATATTTAAAAGCATGATCGATTATTTCTCTCTTGCTCAAGCGAGAAATCTATCGCTTGAGCGAGGAGACCTGAAACTAATGGGTAATCTCGGGTGTTTTTTCGCTCAGGCGATAGGTAATTTCGCTCGAGCGAGAACTGATTGAAATATGTGGTGACCCAAGTTGTATTATGTGGCTAACTGCGTTGGACCTTTAGCTTGTGGTCATTTCTCGCTCAAGCGATGGGTAATTTCACTTGAGCAAGAACTGATTGAAATATGTGGTTACCCAAGTTGCATTATGTGACTAACTGCGTTGAAGCTTTAACCTACGGTCAACTTTCGCTTAAGTGAGAATTCCATCGTTTGAGCAAGGAAACCTGCAACTATTTATAATCGATTATAAGCTAAACTAATCGATTATAATTTTAAAATAATCGATTATTTTAAATTATGATCGATTATTTTACGACTTTTTTACATAATTAATAATTTTTTAAAAAAAATTTCCCAAAACAACACCTCCCAATATAATTTCTAACGCACACAAGTCAGAAATTCAATGCTAAGTCACCCACCCAAGTTAGGATTCTCATGTCTTTCTGATGCACACAAGTCAGGAATCCAATGCTGAGTCACCCACCCAAGTCAGGATTCCAATCTTGGATTCCCTGCATTAGGTTAGAAAAAAGCAGAAGCCATGTGAGGGAGTCTTGGATTAGACAAAAGCATAAGCACATTTAAAGAGATGTTGACCCACCCACTTTGCTTAGGTTTTGTGTGCGTCAGAAGCCATGTGAGGGCGCCTTGGATTCAAATCATTGGACTTCATTATAAATAGACCACTTTCATTCTTTGAAGTTCTCACATTGCATACTCCTAAATCTCTTAATCTCTTTGCATTCTTTCTTCTTCTTACCTTTAGTCTTCTTTTTTATCCACACTCCTAAAATGGGTGTAATGTCTACTATTGTCCACTATGATAGTTCCATGAACCTATGTCCCATGGAGGGAGTTACCTTCAATACTGGGACTGCAAAACTTGTTCCTTTAAAGAGAGGAATTTCTTTACAAAGGTTGAAGAAGTTGATCCACAAAAAATTAGAGAAAGAACCCCATGAAAATATAACAACCATCCATTTTCGCTGCCCAACTAGACTCGGAGTTAGGATCAACAACTTCATTGTGGTTGAGTTGAAAGATGATGACAACGTGGAGACCATGTTCAATGTTCATGATTCAAACTCAAGTCTATGTGGTATTAAAATTTTTGTTACATTTAAAACTTCTTCTTCATACCCCAACACACACTCACCTGAAATCTCACACTCACCCTACCAAGCTTTCCCAAACACTGACCCAGAAATACCCACACATAATGACTGCATCTCTTTTATCCAACTTTTAAGTGAGTCTTTCACCAACATCAATGAAGAACTACCCACACAAGAGAACGAAATTGTTGGCCTCCCAATTGAAGTCGTTGATCATTTTAGTGAGGACGAAGACAAAGATGAAATTCTTAGCCAACACCAAGATGATTCAAAGGATGAACAACCATATATCCCTACACATGCACCAAACTTCATGGAACCATACAACTCACCACAAAATATTCTTAACTTTGAAAGTCACATTCAACAACAAGACCCAGAGTATGACCATGCGTTGGACAGAGAGTCTTTTGTTTCTCCGGCAGGAACTCTATTTCTTGGACAACGTTTCATAACAAAAGAACAAGTTCAAGATGTCATCAATCGCTTTCACATTGTCAATCATTGCACATACAAGGTGAAAATTTCAAACCAAAGTAGATATGTTGTTGAATGTGTTGATAACCAATGCAATTGGAGATGTCGAACAATATTTCCCACAAGAGAGCAATATTGGGAGATTATGAAGCTTGAAGGGCACCATACATGCGTTTCATCATTAATCAGTCAAGACCACAACAAGTTGGGATATAAAATGATTTCCCAAATAATTGGTCAAATAATTGATGCTGATTCATCAACACCAATCTCCACAATCATATCCCACATCCAATTAACAACAGGTTACATTATAACGTACAAGAAGACCTGGCTGGCCAAACAAAAGGCAGTGGAGACCATCTACGACAATTGGAAGGATTCGTATAAGGAGTTGCCTTGTTTGTTACAAGCCACGCAACAATTTGTTCCCAGATTCATCTACAAACTGCAGTCACAACCGGCTTACCAAGGTGAGGTCCTTCAACAAAATTCAAATATTTTTAAGCGTGTGTTTTGGACGTTTATGTCATGCATAGATGAATTTGTTCACTGCAAGCCCATTGTTCAAGTGGACGGAACTTTTTTGTACGGAAAATATAGAGGACCTTGTTGGTTGCACTAGCACAAGATGACTGCAACAACATCCTCCCCATTGTGTTTGTGGTGGTTGAAGGTGAAACAAGTGATGCCTGGTTTTTTTTTCTTAAAAAACCTCCAAAGATATGTTACACCTCAGCAAGGATTATGCCTCATATCAGACCGACATGAATCCATTAGAAGTGCATACATGAGAAATGGAAGCGGATGGACAAAAAATAATTCAGTGCATGTCTACTACATTAGACACATTGCACAAAATTTTATGAGACGTTTTAAAAACACCGCACTAAGGAAAGATGTTGTAAATATGGGTAATTCATTTGCTTCAAATTTGTTACAATTTATTCATTATTTAACTGTTGCTAATAAATATTTATATTAACTATGTTTTTTTAATATTGTTGTAGCATATGGGATGACTGAACCACGATTCTACTATTATTACAACATCTTGAGGCAATGTGACATACAAACAACTAATTGGTTTGATGAGATACCTAGAGAAAAATGGGCACTTGCATGGGAAAATGGACGGCGTTGGGGCCACATGACGACCAACATAGCAGAGTCTATCAACTCTGTTTTGAAAAAAAAAACAATAAATCTACCTATTTGCTCCATGGTCAATGCAATGTACACCCGCTACAACAAATTTTTCATTAAAAGAGGGAGGCAGATAGATGCCATGATCAATGTTGGTCATGTATACTCTGAAATTTTGATCACAAATTTAGAGGAAGCACAAACACAGACAAACACTCATAGGGTCATAACTTTTGACAGATCTACCACAAAATTTGTAGTAGAAGAAACACAAAACCCGCGTGAAGTTTGACCAGCAAGAAAATTTGCAATTCGCCTTGATGAGTTGTGGTGTGACTGTGGGAAATTCCAAAAATTTCACATGTCTTGTTCACATGTTCTTGTTACATGCAAGCATGCACACCATGACTTCAAAAACTACATTCATTCAGTGTATACCTTACAACAAGTTTCAAAGGTATACGAAACACAATTTAGGTTGTTGCGAAATGAAGAATATTGGTCAACATACACAGGACCTACTTTGTGCGCAAATCCAGAAATGAAAAGAACTTCAAAGGGCCGACCAAAATCAAGCCGTATAAGAACTGAGATGGATATTACAGAAAATCAAAGTAGGATGTTCATATTGTCATACCCCTGGTCATAGCAGAAAAACATGCCCCAATGTTGCACATGCATCTACTTCGCATCATTAGATTGTGTTAGTTAAGAAATGCCCCAATGTATGAAACTTAGGAGTTTTTCAATTAATAAAATTTCTTTTTTGCAGAGTGATGATTACCTACGATGTAGTAACTCATGGGCTCATCTGTTCTTACAATAAGGATAACTATATTGACAACAAATCATAATAGAAATACTGATTTGTTGCATGAATTGTTAATATCCTTTACTTTAGTCCTTTTGTTGTTCAATCTTGTTCATGGTTGAATCGAAGATATGCTGACAAGGTTGCAATTTGCAGTCCAATGAGTGTATAACTTAAAATTATCAATGACAAATTTTTGAATACGAAAATAATTAGATAAGCCTTTGCAGATTTTATGAAACAATTATTGTAAAAGGCTTAAGTTGTAGTGAAGATATAAGATTCAATTATTTTAAAATTATAATCAATTAGTTTAGCTTATAATCGATTATAAATAGTTGCAGGTTTCCTCGCTCAAGCGATGGAATTCTTGCTTGAGCGAGAGTTGACCACAGGCTAAAGCTCCAACGCAGTTAACCACATAATGCAACTTGGGTCACCACATATTTCAATCAGTTCTCGTTCGAGCGAAATTACACATCGCTTGAGCGAAAAACACCCAAGATTACCCATTAGTTTCAGGTCTTTTTGCTCAAACGATGGATTTCTCGCTTGAGCGAGAGAGAAATAATCGATCATAATTTTAAATATTCGATTATTTTAAAATTATGATCGATTAGTTTAAATTATAATCGATTATAAATTTCCTCACTCAAGCGATGGATTTCTCGCTTGAGCGAGAATTGACCACAGGCGTTAAGTTAGCCAATCACTTCTCGCTCGATCGAAATTACCCATCACTTGAGTGAGGATTGACCCAACATTACCCATTAGTTTCAGATATCCTCGCTTGAGTGAGAGAGAAATAATCGATCATAATTTTAAATATTCGAATATTTTAAAATTATGATCGATTAGTTTAAATTATAATCGATTATAAGTTTCCTCGTTCAAGCGATGAATTTCTCGTTTAAGCAAGAATTAACCACAGACGTTAAGTTAGTCAATCACTTCTTGCTCGAGCGAAATTATTTATCGCTTGAGCGAGAATTGACCACAGGCTAAAGGTCCGACGTAGTTAGCCACATAATGCAACTTGAGTCACCACATATTTCAATCAATTATTGTTCGAGCGAAATTACTCATCGCTTGAGTGAGAAAACACCCAAGATTACCCATTAATTTCAGGTCTCCTCGCTCAAGCAATAAATTTCTCGCTTGAGCGAGAGAACTTCTAACTCGAGCGAGAATTTTATCGCTTGAGCAAACCTAAACCCCATAAAACCCTTACGTTCCATGTTTTCTCGCTCAAGCGATGCATTTCTCGCTTAAGTGAGAGTACCATGAACAGTAAATAGTGTTAGTTGGGTAAATAATATTCTAGATGTGCTATTTTGGAAAATATTTTTTAAAATAATATTATTTATGAAAAAAAGTCTCTCTAGATGGGTGTCAGGTGTAAAGTTTCTTTATGTATCTTTTCCCTTTCCAATAGAGGTATATGAAAAAAGTAATGAAGTTTGAAATTGGTAAAATATCAATAATTTTTAAATAAAAAAGAAATGTTAAAACATCATTATTTTTAAATGAAAGAGAAAAAATTATTTAAGTGATGATTTATTTATAATTCAAGAATGACTTTTCTTAATAATGACATATATTGTTATTATCAATCCATACATCAATTTACGTTACGGAAAAATGTGTCCATTTCATTAATAGACTTCATAATAAATTATATATGCTGTAAAATAATAAATTAAATGTGTAAATAAAATAAAAAAATTACTATATTTAAAATTTAATTTATGTTTCTTATAATTTTTTGTACATCAAATTTTACACTACCAATCAATAATAAATAACTGTTGATATGATTTTTAAAATAATTATTTTAAAATCAACAAACAATTCATTCACGATGATAAAACATTAACACTGAATTAATTAAAAATCACTGTTTATATTTTTTTCAAAATAATTATTTAAATCAATAATTTTATTATAAATAACAAATTGTTTTCAAATCACAGTAGTCGTATAACATCTTCTTTCTTATTTAAATCAAGTGAAGACTTTAGCCACTATGGTTTCTTGTTTTGTTAGGATTCAGTTGAAATTAAAAAAGAAGTAAAAAAGTGATTATGTCCACATTACCGATGTACGTTGATCTGTATTTCTTCAGGTATTTTATGGAACATTGAGTGCATAAATACATGAAGAAAGACAACAAAGTTGAAAGTGCCAATCAAACAAGTGAAAGGTGCCAATCAAACAGTTTATTACCAATTGAACTATATCATATGTTGCTAGATTAGCAAGGTGAAATATGAAAGACCACAATTAGTTACATTCTCTTTTACCCTCAAACATTTTAGCTAAAGTTCCTACTTGAAAACACTACTTGCCTGCAATGTCTACCAGGATCGTTTGCTACTTCGCCTCTCACAACCTCAGTTATCAAATCTTTAAAGATCAAACGTTCAATATCCAACACAATATTTGGCATCTCATTGCAGCAGTTAGTCCAAATTGCATGATAATGCTTCAAATTCTCATCCTCCTGAATTAAACTGATATGCCCATTTTGAGGTTGCAACTGATCTATTTCAGTGCACAGCTCATCCAAAAGCTGCTGTCCTTTTGGTGTTCTGCCTGCTAACTCATTTGGTTGGCACCACAATGCAGAAGAACTATCCAATATCAGCTTTTGAACTAAAATATCATTGACAACATCAAATATGAGTTTTCTTTGCATCTTCTCAGGATTTATAATCCTGGCAATCTTCTTGGCATTGTCTTCAATGTTAAAATGTCTCTTCTTTGTTTTCATTTGTTCAAGTGCAAAGAACAACTTTGGATCAATCAAGTGACCCGGCGAATGAAATATCTGGCTAGAGCTGTGGCCACTGAGTAGACCTGATGCTAATAGTATTTCTATTATATACTTATGGTCAGGATGCTTACTGTTATTGAAATTGAGGAGTTTCTCTTCAATCCAGTCAATTTCTTGAAGTATATCCGCTGAGTTCTCTTCACTATCATCATCAGTGCTTAGAGATTCACCTGCAGCAGAAAATTTGAAGAAAACCAAAATGAAACTCAAAATTTTTCCCCCTATTATTGTTATAATGCCGCTAAAATGTGTATGAGAGTGATACAAGTTACTTGAAATTGATAAATGATTTAAATTATCCATGATTCGATCTTTGTTACGTACCTAAATATTTTGAGATGTCGGATTTCTTTTTCACTGGAGATGGAGGGTCATCTCTATAGAATGCAGTATCAAGAACGGACACAGGACTTGGTTGATCTGCAGTAACCATTGTCTCAGCCTTCCTCAACTCTTCAAATTCATTCTGATCAACGAAAGAATGTTAGATGCATTCTGATCAAGAAAAGAATTTTAACCAATTGGTATAGATGCCAAACGTTACTGTGCAAGGAAGAAATACTTACATTTTGATTCATGCAACTCAGCTGGATGCAGGAGCTAATGATCTTTCCAGATTGATCAATTCGAATGACTTCTATCTCACTGTGACTGGCCGAGCTGCTTTTGTCATCAAAGTCCGAAATGACATTAACATGGTGCTTAAGATCCCTCCAGTTACAGCTAATCTCACTGAAACGTTCATTTCTTTGCTGCAAACTGGAGAACTTTTGTCTTGGCGTTGTACTTGGAGAAGACAATTCCACAGGTTGCCTATTGTGCTCTCTTTTGTTAATGCAGGAATCTGATGTTGGACTTGTTGCCTGCGAACACCTCTCCAGACCACACTTCTTCTGTGATCTGGGGCTCCCAGTCACTGTTATATAACCAGAATTGGTGGTGCATTCTCCATTGCTGTCTTGAGAAACTTTCAAGGATTGCATCAATTTTAAAGTTCTGGTGTTGTTTTTGTATGATGGACGAACTTGTTGGCCAAGAGGATCCTTGACATTTTTTGTTGAACTTATGCCTTTAGCACCATGCTTGTCAACCAATCTTGCATTTGTTGGATTACTTGGGGAACTCTTGCTGAGACCAGATTTACCATGAACTGATAATTCTGTAGGAGAAGGATTATTGACTTTGCTAGTAACTTTCGCAGGTTTCATGATGACAATTGGCAATTTGCTATGCCGGGTAGAATTTGACATCTCAACCGTGACAGATGCCAGGTCTTTTTGTCGTACTCGTGGGCTTTGTAAGTTCGAGCTTTCATTGGAATTAGTACCATTCTTATTGTCAGATGTAGAATTTGAAGCCTGATCTCTAGCATTGTCTAGCGAATCTTTACGTCTCTGCATTGCTTCAAGAATCTGTTTAAGGGCTCTGAGATCCTTTCCAGACTTTTTGAACTCAAGTTCTGCCACCCTTTTCTCAATTTCCCCGTATACAGTGAGAGAGGTCTTTGAGACTTTTACATCAGATTCACAACCCTTGGAAGCTTGTAATTGAGAACTTTGGATTGCATCTGGTTGCCTCCAAGGAGTTGATTCTAATGCAAATCGTGAATATGGCTTCTCATTTGTGATTGAATCAGCCTTTCTAAACTGTGGCAAGGTGAACTTTTGATGCTGCTTATCTTCATCACTTGTGCTAGATCTTGCCAAGAGCTCATTCTTTTTGGTAGAGCAACTAGAATTTCCAATTGGACTCCCACGAGTTTGTGTACACTCCGGGAGGGCTTCAAGTCCCATCAACTTAGCTACAACACTGGAAGATCTTTTGGAAGTATCTGGTTCTTGCAGCTGGTTAATCATTGTGCCAGAGTTCTTTGCATAATCTTTCTGTTGACCCTTCAACAGGTTGCGAGACTTGTTTCCTTCGTTGTAACCTCTATTGGACCCTTCTCTGCTGTCCAAGGAAAGCCTTGGGAATTCCTTATGCTTTGTGGCAGATTTGAATGTTTCATCATAAGAGAGCCGTGGTGAGTCCCAAGGTGTTTTCCTGGACCTGGCAAGAGTATGGAATGGTTCACTGGCAACTGCAACTCCTGCATTGACAGATTTGTGTGACCGGAAAGGCCGGGGAGAGTCTATGAGTTTCAAGGTCTGACCCTTCTTTTCCTCTTCAGCTACAGTTTTCACAGACAATCCTTCAGCTTCTTTATGCATTGAGTCTTTGACAATATGATGAAAATGGTGGGATTGTTGGCGGGGGGTATCAAATTGCTTCTTTGCTACTTTTGATTTTGTGTTTTCAGGAATTCTTGTTTGATTTCTTGATGATGATTGCATCTGAATTGTTCTGTTAAACTCAAGGGATGACATGCTAGATGAACAAGAGGATGAAGACAAAGAAGTTTTGGATGATTCTGTGGAGAATTGTTGCTTTTCTCTTGCACTCTTCATATTCTTTGCCTGCATGGATACAAACTTTTAACTGATTTTTTCTAAAAATTCCCCAAAGAGTTAAACTACTGCTATCTTACCTTAGCTTTCTGCATTGTAGCGTTGAGCTCTTTATTTTCATTATTGATTTCACCTGAGAAGTGAAGAAGTTTTACTTGGAAGTAAGTTGGAAGTAAAATGGAATATTTTCTCAATGGTTACGTTCTTCTCTAAGTTATCTTTTCTTAAATACCATGTCAAGCATGTTGAAGCTCCACAAGTCACAAATCAATTATATAACTTTTAAGGATTTGAGCTCATCATAAATCTGGAAGATGTGGTGTGAGAAACAATGATGTTGAGACACAAATCTTGCAAATATGCATGGAAAATTCAAAACATAGAATGATACGTTTTTTATTTTTGGCAGAATGATGTGTTACAAAACTTTAATTATATATATATATATATATATATATATATATATATACATGAAGAACACTATTTTGAACATCTATTATAAAATTTTCATATAAATTTTCAAGCTTCCTATAGTGAAGTGAGAGTATCAAAGGAGAAAAGTCAGATTCGTAATATATTGGAATGGGTTACGTAGATTACAGAAACTACAGAGGAAATTCCCTACAGAATTTTCATCACCCAAATTCAAGAATATCATGTAAAAAAAGAACACCATTGAAAAAAAAAACTTCAGCGCCAAAATTCGATTACAGTTATTAGCATTATCGACCCTAAAGTTTTCCACTAAATTTATATATTCGATGAAATACAAGAAGTTTCACCAAAATGTGATTTTCTTTCATCGCAAACCACACAAATCCAAGGTAAAGCCTAGGAAACAGAATGGAAAAACTACCATAATTTAAGTTAAAACCAATAAATAAATTAACTTTAACTACCCCCTCAAAAAACCAAAACAGAATTGAAGAAATTAAATAAATAAAAAAAGAACTCTGTGCAAGGACCAGTTACTGACAAACTGAAATATGTTGATTGTTTCAGAACATTACTGTAGGAGAAAGCGAGTTTCAACAAAAATAATCATACAAAATTATTCAACTTATACTCCGGACATGATGGGACGCAATTTGAATCAGCAATGATGCAAGATTTCTAATATATGAGAGAGATCAGAGAGACTTTGTCCGTACACTTAACACTTTTATTTTAGGGTCTGATTAGATAACATAATATTTTGTATCAAACACTTAATTCTTAAAGACAGAAATTATATAAATTTTACGTTTCATAAAAAAACATACTTTCCTAATGTTGTTAGAAAAGCGCATTTGTTTGCTTAACCATTTGCCTTAATTTTAATAAGCATGTCAAGCAAATTTTCTCAATTACCCCCAAAATCAACCAAAACATATGAATAAAAATATTAAAAAACTAAAAAGTACGAACACCCAAGTTAATAAATTTGACTGCAACATCAAGGGTTTTTTAATGATTAAGTTTATGATGGTAGTTCCATCAATCATATTTTTGCAAATTTTCATATTATGAAGAAACGTGGCCAGAACCTCTTTGTGGATTTAAAACCTTACAACATCATCATATCACATTCAAAACTCTGAACAGAAACAAGCATATCACAGAATACCTGAAGGAGGCCTGTGCTGAAGGTAGATGCCAGAGCGTTGGCCGGCGAGGAAATGGTGACGGTCAAAGAGCTGAAAAAATCCAGTTATGCACCCAATTTGCTTCTGCAAATCTGGGTTTTCATCCTTCAAGGATTTCAAATTTCCAGACATTTTTGCTTCCTCAACCTTCAACTATGCAGACTCCACAAGGCTTATTATGTTAAGTAGCAGCAGCAACAACAACAACGACCATGTCCCTACAAGAAGAGGGAGATCTTGCTTTTCAAGGATTGCTGGAGGCAAAAGGATTTGAATTGTCAAGGTGACACAGCACAAGACCTGACCGATAAGAGTTTAAGTTTCAAAACAAGATATAGTGACAAGAATTTGTATGTTATATGGTGGAATATGAAGACTTGGTCATGCAAAATTTCTTGAAGAGTTTATTTTGTGTTATATGTGTGCATGTGTACAAAAGAGAATGTCCTTGGACAGAATCACAGGGAGAAGAATGAGATGTGGTGGAGAGAATATTATCTCCCGCAGAAGCAGATGGAAGAAAAGAGAAGTGGAAAGAAAGGAATCACAAAGTGCTACCGCTAGCATCCACCTTTTAGTGATTAACAATGCAGAAAGTGAAGAGAGAAAATTGAGGCACCCAAGAAGAGAGATGTTTTGTTAATTTTCTCTGGGTTTGCCCACAGAATAAAAGGATTGCTTTTGTTTTTTGTTATCTTAGCAGGTGCAGAGGCCAGAGTGTGTTGTGTTGTATTGTGTTGTGCTGTGTTGTATTGTGTTGTGCTGTGTTGTGTTGTGTTGTGTTGGGTGAGGTGAGAGAGGCGTTGAGGTGTTGTAATTATTATATATGTGAGGCCAACGTTGAAAAACAGGTTGCTTAATATAAGAAGTAGAGACAACCTTTTAATTACATTACGTAAGAGAGAGTGGGCATGGTGGAATTTGGGGTATCAAAATCTGAGTGTATCAGAGAGAGAAAATGTCTTTCAATTAGTGTATAATCTGCTATTATTATATGCTTATGATTTTGTATAATTTTATGTGATTTACTGTTGAATTTTATATTACCTCTATTTTATAAATAAGAACTATAAATAAAAAGATAATTATGCTACTTATTTTTAGATTATACAAAATAAAAAATAACAAATATAATAAAAGTATTTTTAGATATGATAAACTATTTTTAATATAAAGTCCTTTTAATTATTTTTTTTATATACAAAAAATGAAAAAATAGATCTTACTTTAAATAATGGAATCCATTACCAACCATTATTAGTATAATTTATAATTAGAGTAGGGTGGTATATATAAAACTATTTTCATTTTGAATATATAATAAAAAAAAATTGTGATTTATAAGAAGGAAAAAAGTGAAATGATGAATGATTAAAGAAAGATGGAGGGTAAGTGTGTGATGTGTGGGACAGGTTAATGAGGTAATTTCCGACGACTTCTATGTGGACAAAACAACGTGGGTGGGACTGTGCCTTCAACCTCTCTCCATCACCATGTGGAGTTTGTCAGACAATGGAAAAATAATATGCACAAGCCAGGAAGTGGATTTTGTTCCAAAACAAAAAAGCAAATTTCAAGAACAACAAAACTGAATACAGATATTCAGTGAAAGCCTGCAAGATCTAAAGCCCTTGCTCAACCATTCCCCTACACACATATCCCACTTTTCACCAAATTGCCCTTCATCCCTTCTCACCTTTTTCTCCATACTTGGGACCTGGCCTCAAAATGGACCTCATATCATATTTATTCACTTTCCCTTCCAAATTGCAAAACACCCTCCAACTTTTCTGCTGCACAACCAAGTATTTATTATATCAACGTCGCACACACATTATCCTTGATGCTGGGGGAATCGCATTGCACTTGCAAGGCACAAACAGTGACATAAATAAATATATCTACATTGAATTCTCTGAAAGGGTTGTCACATATTTAACCTAACACATTACACATGCATCATCATGAAAATGGGAATTGAGGAAAGTTATAGGAAATGGACTATTATTATTATTGTTATTTCTTGTTCAATTTGATGCACTTGCTAACCTAGAAAGTAACAAGAGTGGTCACTCCCAGTGCAATCTGGTGGGTTAGGTGCTTTTTAGTTGATACATATCAGCAAAAATGTGGTCCTGCTCCAATGTGTGTGTGTCACAAATACTATCATGCAAAGCTGGACAGTTACAAAGTGTAGGAATGTGTTTGGACCATTAGCATTTCCAGAACAATGAATATGGGATAAAATCTTGAAGGAGTCCTTTTGGAAACTGTGTAGTGTTTCCGCCGCAAAGTTTTGGTGTGTTTCTGCCACATTGCTGATAGGACCACGTTGTTAGTGCATCATCGCTGTCAATGGTACTGCATGAGTTAGACTTCACTTAGCTATGTGCATTTTTTTTCTTTCATCAAACAAAAAAGCCATTGGTCAAGCTGCACCTATTAGAATTAAAGAAGAGTACTACTAAAGAAATAGTTGAAACAGCTGATTGGGATCTTTCTCTGTTGGTTCCATTAATTCTTCTTTTCTCAAACCACTAGAAAAGACTTCATATTTTCTTCCCTGTCATTTTCATCGAGGAGATCATCATTTTATCCCTAGAAATGTAAACTATTAGCAAATCATATCAGTTTCCAAAATTAAGAAATTTTAAATATTTTTTAAAAATATTTGGTTTTTTCATCTATCTAAAAAATTGAGACTTTTCCCTTCTGGAGGTTTCATTGTTTGTTTCTGAAACTGGTACAGAGACTTAAAAAATTTTCTTCCCTACGATGCGAATGCAAACTAGCAAAACGAGGAAAAAGAAATGAGTCCAACGCTGAAAGAATCCATCCCTTCACCAACATGGATTCAAGCACCATCTTGGAAATGCTAACGTGTGATTATCCTTCATCACCATCTAAATCTGGGAAATACTACCCATCAGTTTCTAAACTCGATAGAAACTCAAATGTTACGTCTCTCTACTTTAAATAACTTTGGCTGGCATTAAGTGGCTGATATATATACCTAACCTGAAATAAATAAATAAATAAATATCAACCATGGTTATTTTTGTTCCTTATAGGAAGAATGCTATATATCTCATCTTTAATCTAGGATGCAGCTTTATAAAGTGCATTGTAGAAAATGTCATTTGTTCTTAACGATTGATATATATACTTGATTTGAATGCCTATAATGTGAGAGATTATGCAGTTAGACCATATATATATATGCTCCTTTCAAATGCAACTAAGAAAATATATGGTTTACATGTGCGATTCTTTTAACAATGTAAGATACCTTGCTTCACAAGCACAGTTGTATAATCGATGGTTCTAATATATGTTGATTAGAAATATATAATGGAGAAATTCTTAGACCACCATCAATGTCTTATTCCTCTAAAATAGTGAAGATTTTAAATAGAATGTATTGATATTATCATCAATTGTATTATTGATTTTTATAATAATTATTTTAAAATTTAGGTTAAAAGCTTTTACAACGAGAATATATATGCAAAGGTTGTTGGTAATAGGTAGAAAATAAAAGTTGACAGCACTTTGTTTTTTTTTTAATCTCTTAATATTTCTCCTCGATTTCAAATGAGTTGTTACAAGTATTTATGGATACAATGTTTACCTCTTCAAATGTCAAAATTAAATCATCATACTTATTAAATAAAATAGGTTTGTAGTCCATATTTCTTGTTATGTCACTCATACCTAAAACCATTAATACTATTCTAGGAATACCAAACGATTAATTTAAATTTTACAACAAATCTCACCCTTAAATTTAAATACTCTTCTCATCTCTTATTTCAATTAATCTTTTACAACTTTCCAGCAGTGACTTGGTGAATACATTCGCGGCTTGGGCTCGGTTTTCAACATGCTCCAACTCGATCGTTCCTTCTCTGACTTGTCCTCGGATGAAATGAAATCGGACGTCGATGTGCTTGCTCCTTTCGTGATTAATCGAATTCTTTGCCAACTTGATTGCTGACTTGTTATCAAATTGAATTATAGTCTCATCGTCTCGGATCACTCCTAGATGCCTTAGTAGATTTGAAAGTCAGACTGCATGACATACGCTCTAGGAGGCCGCCACATACTCGGCCTCGCAGGTCGACAGAGTTACAATGGACTACTTTTTTGACAACTAAGTAAAAGTTATTTTCCCGAGTAGGAATACATAAATCACTATCCGAGTAACTCATTTGTCAGTAGTCATCCGATTTTGAATAGAAAAGACCAAGTGATAGGGTTCCTCGAACATATCTCAAAATTCTCTTCAAAGCATTTCAATGTGTGTAACTTGAATTCTCCATGTATTTGCTCGTTATCCCAACACTCAGCATTAGGTCGGGTCTCGTGCTTGTAAGGTTGGTCATCTCCCAAGTTTTGTTGCGTTCAATCACCCCAATCTCCTCATCCATGGTTGTTCTCCACTTCTCATCTTAGACAGCTTTCTCAAAACTCAAGCCTTCAGAGTCAGCCAGAAGACATACAACATGAACTTCATTTGTAGTATCGTATATTTCCTGCAAACTTCTCATCCTGGATTGTTGTGGCTCGATTTCTTCATCTGAGGACTCGGTGGTTGTTGTTGTTGAAGACACAACAATTTTCGAGCTAGTTTCATCTTCAGCCCGGTTATTCTAACACCATTGCTTTGTTTCCTCCACATGAACAACTCGGCTTACCATCACTTTATTGTTAACAGGATCAAACAATTTATACGCTTTATATTTTCCATCATACTCGATAAATATGTACTTCTTGCTCCGATCTTCTAATTTAGTCATGTGTTGACTTGGTACTTGCCCATAAGCCACACTACCAAACACCTTTAGATGAGAGATGAAAGAATTAATGGTTGAGTTCAAGAGGGGGGGTGAATTGAACTTTAAAACTTTTTCGCAAAACTTACTTTCTTTTGGAAGAATGAGTTATCTTTATTCAATCTTTGCAAAGGTAATTCGGTTTAAACACAGCACAATTAAAGACAGAAAGTAAAAGAGATGAAAGAAGAATATTAACACACAAATTTATACTGGTTCACTCTAATCCAGAGCTACATCCAGTTCTTGACAAACCGATCAAGTTTCACTAATACCAAGTGAAAATTTACAACCAAGTAGATACTCACCAATCTACCCCAAGAACTATCTTGCAAAACCCACAAGACGAATCTTGAAAACCACCCAAGTAACCAAATCCGATTCATCGTACCAAGTGCGGATTACAATCCAACCTGCACAATCAACTTTTACAAAAGAATATGGAAAGAAAAAACCTGGACTTGAAGTTTCTAATTGTCCGAACCAATTCTATCAAGCACTTTCTCTTTGAATGACCACAATTCGATCACAGACACCTTATGATATGAAAAAGATTCTTGAATGCAGAGAAAGTCACGTATGAAAGATTCACAGATTGATTTCACAAGTTTTCTCAAGTAGTGTATTGTATTGTCTTGTTCAAAAGATAGATCAAATCTGTATATATAGAGTAAATCATAGAATCAGACTGATTCAACTGTCAAAAACTGTTTCAGAGAGTCAAAAGAT